GGAGTTCTGTTTCCATTGCGTAGACATCAATTGAATAAGATCTTCCCAGTTAGTGATAGCAGTGAAGAAGTTACACCTGATTTTGATGAATCATCAGATAGGAGACACAAAACAACATGTGAGGAATAAATGCTGGTGTGATTCCGATTGTAATTGACATAGAGCACAAAGGTTGATGTGGTTGGACATTGATCTGCTATCAAGGGTAGGTAACCTGAATTGCACAGCTAACCATAGATTGAATTTCATCCTAGGGATTGTAGGAGAAACCCAAACTAGGTTGTGCCAATGGACTACTTGCGAGTGCTCTGTGATGAACAATGCTGTGTGCTTAAAACTGAACTTGCCATTTGCAGAGGTGTGATACCCCCGAATTTCCGAATGCGGGTTGGCTAGGCCCACGCCCGAACACCCGAGGATATCAAAAACGAATCGGCAATAAACGAACACAGAGTACAAAAGAATAAAGAAGAATAAATAAAATGCTGACAAGAAACTAAAATGATAATCTAATAATAAACCTCAGAATATATTTCCATTAATTAATAAACTCTTCTGATACAACCGATCCTCCAAAATACAACTCGGGAATCCATACTGTGTGGACCCCTAGAAAATCCAAGATAAACAAATGACAGTAATAACTGCCTAAATCAGGAAACTGAATCATAAAGGAACTCCTATGTAACATCGGAAGAATGAAGTAGACTGATACCCGCTCAGCACGAACAACCTTTACTCCTGACGAACACCTGAAAAATAATGGTGGGTCAGGCCCACAAACAAGTTCTACTCTACTACAGTCCAAGCAGAGATCCGATATACGTATACATCCTAGTCAATCCAACAGTAACTAGTAGTCTGTATATATATATACACACACTAAAGGAACCTCACTAGACTATAGGGTTATCTCAACCTGAGTAGTAGGCAACATGCAAAACGCACATAAAGTAGGCATGAGTACCTAGACCTACCAGGGTACACAACTACACTATATCTAGTTACACATCCCTGGCGATATACGCGCCCTAACCATTGATCCTGAGACTTAAGCTCATATCATGGCACCATACTTATATATATAAAATCTAGTAACCATCCTATCCAGTATAAATTAATCCTCCATAAGTCATTCAACTTGTTCAGCTGACCTGACTTGAATATAAGTAGGACTTAACATTTTAGTTAATCCATTCCCTTATATAATAAATTAATCATCCATAAGTCATTCAACTTGTTCAGCTGACCTGACTTAAATATAAGTAGGACTTAACATTTTAGTTAATCCATTTCCTTATATAAAATAGGTAGGACTTAACTAATAAGTTAATTCATCCCTAGAATGCCACTGTCCCATACCGATGCATTAAACCACACAATTCAACAATTGATGTAACAATTAAGAAAATACATCAAACATTCTATAAATAACTATGATAAATATGATATCAAGTTATCACATAATAGGAATGACTTATTATTTCTTTAAACTTCCTATATCATATGTCCTACACAAACTGAATCTTAGACATGATGATATTTTATTATACCGTTAAATAAGCATTCTCCGTATCCAATTCATCCTACACATTTAATCTCAATTGCTTAAACATATTAAAAGATTAAATTTATTCGTTTGTTTAAAACATTCGAATAGCAAGCATCATTATGATTGAGTCTATTTAAATTTATTTAAACCCAAACCTAGTTCCTATTTAATGTTCAGGAATCCTAGGCATGTTTCTACGTTCCATCATTGTATAGATATGAAAAAATACATAATGTAAACATATAAAAATTCACACCAGAAATCAAATCAAAATCATGCATTTATCAATTCATAACACAAGAGCAGATATGAACCAATTTCATAAAACCTATGTTCTAATCCAATTAAACGTGCATAATTATTTAATTTTATGTGTTTAATAAATCCTGGAATTTCCTAGGCATGCATAGAAATACGAATCAAAGGGAAAGAGATAGAAGACGAACTTGCCTTAAACTTTCGGATCGAAAGTTAAACTTCTTCTTCCTTGATCTTCTCTCTACAGAGTTTTTCTCTTCCTTCCTTCCTTCTCTAACTCTCTCTCTCTAGAATATATCACGTGAATATTTCTAACCCCCTTTTACAACCTGTAGCTATATATTTATAGGCTAAATAAAATAACCCTAACCCTTTTCCCAATCCAAGTCAACTTAAAAAAAAATAAAATATTAAAAAGGTAAGTAAAATATGTTACGTATATAATTTATGTATATCTTTATTAAATAAATAAATTATACACATCCCATTATTTATTAATGGATTATCCAATAATACTTAAGTTACCATAATATTATAAAGTAACTTAAAATGTAACACGTATCAAATCTATGTATATTTTTATTATTTAAATATAAAACATATACATCAGATTAAATATTACTACCCAAGTTACCATAAAAGTAATTAATAAATTACTTTCCCTTTTATATATATTAAAAAGGTAAGTAAAATTTGTTACGTATATAATTTATATATATGTTTATTAAATAAATAAATTATACACATTTCATTATTTATTAATAGATTATCCAATAATACTTAAGTTACCATAATATTATAAAGTAACTTAAAACATAACACGTATCAAATCTATGTGTATTTTTATTATTTAAATATAAAACATATACATCAGATTAAATATTACTACCCAAGTTACCATAAAAATAATTAATAAATTACTTTCCTTTTTATATATGTATATAATATATATCTATATATATACATACATTATCCATGGGTAATAATCCATACACATCCAACCTCTTATCCAAGTAATCCATGGGACCCAATTGGTTGGCCCATTATTACTAATCATAACCATAAAAGAAAAATAAAATAAAATAATAAAAGAAAAGAAAACATTTAATTTACAATTAATCAAAACACCATTTAAGCACATAATCTAATTAAACAATTAACACATAGACAAATACAAATAATACATAGACACATAATCAAATAATCAAATAATACCTAATTCAATTAAATACATAAGCAATTAGTCAAATAATTAATTAAATAATTAAAAATACAATTAAAACAAATAAATAAATACCGAGACTATCCTTTTAATAGTAGGGGTATTACAGGAGGCTAGCCATATCTTGCTATCACTTCTTGAAGAACATAGCGAAGGCTGAAGTAATAACTCAGGAATGGCAGATGTAAGACTTGTAGGAAATGACCAAGATGAGTTTTGTATGAAGGTGTCGACTGTAGTTGATTCATTGAACCCTGCATCAGTAAGACTTGTTAGTGGAAAACGATTGCAGAGAGGTCCACCTGAGGACTAGTTATCAAACCAAAATGAGGTCCCTGAGCCATTGCCAATCCTGTGCTTGAAAAGCTGTCTACCAATGTGCCTATGCTGTAAAATCTTCCTCCAACTCCAAGAGCAAGGGTGAGGGAAGTTGATTGTCCAAAAGTTTCTTGACTTGATGAGGTGAACCCTACACCAAGTGATCCAAATTCTGTCATGGTTGTTTGAGTGAAGATCCCAAATATACCTTAGGATGCCAGCTTTGTTTGAAATTTCCAAGTTTGGAATGCCAAGACCCCCTTCCTTCTTAGGTAAACAAACTTTACTCCAAGTAAGTTTTGCTCCTGTGGATTTCATTTCAGTACCTGACCAGAGGAAAGACCTGAATATTTTGTTGAGCTCATTGATTACAGCTTTGGGTAGGATAAAGATGCTTGCCCAGTATACTTGTGTTGAGACCAATACAGCCTTGATAAGTTGGAGTCTGCTTGCATAGGAGAGTGACCTTGAAGACCAATGTGAAATCCTGTTTGTGATATTTTCAATAAGTATGCTGCAATAGCTTGATTTGAGCTTGGTGGATATGAGTGGAACACCTAAGTATTGGACTGGAAGAGATCCAATCCCAATTCCTAGCATGGCTGTGATTGCAGCTTCAGTGTGGGGATCAGTTCCAGAGAAGTAAACGTTGCTCTTGGATAGATTGATGTCCAATCCTAACATACAACAGAAGTGATCAAGGGCAGATTTCAACACTGATACTGAGGTGATGTCTCCATGACAAAACAGGAAGAGGTCATCAGCATAAGAGAAGTAAGTGATCTTCAATGCACCACATTTCCAATGGAATTTGAATGTGTGCGCTCTCCTTACATATTCATTAATGATGGATGATAGAGTGTCCATGACAATAACAAATAGGAAGGGGGAGATGGGATCACCTTGTCTCAATCCTCTCCTACCTTTGAAAAACCCTTGGAATTCTCTATTGAGGGCAATAGTGAAAGAGGGTGAAGTGAAGCAAGCCTGTAATAGTGAGATGAACTTGGTTGGGAAGTTAAGAAGCTTGAGACAGCTTAGGATAAAATCCCATTTGACTGAATCAAAAGCTTTCTTTAGATCTATCTTGATAGCACATTTGGCAGTGGAGGACTCAATGTGGTACCCCCTTAATAGCTCATGAGCTAGAAGAATGGGATCCGTGATCTTCCTCCCATTTATAAAGGCTGATTGTGTCATATCAATAATGTATGGTAGAGAGAGCTGCAACCTGGATGCCAGAATTTTGGATATACATTTATAGATGGAGTTGCAGCAAGATATTGGTCTGTAGTCATGTATGGAAGTTGGATTTTTGTATTTTGGAACCAAAGCAATGTAGGTATTGTTTGCTTCAGACAACATTTTGCCATTCCTGAAGAATTCAGCAATTGCCTTGGTAACAGAGTTCCCCACAATACCCCAAGCTCTTTGGAAAAATGCAGCATTGTAACCATCAGGGCCTGGGGCTTTGTCCTTGCTGAGCCTGAACATACATAGCTGAATTTCACTATTAGAAGGAATGCCATCCAAAATACTGTGTAGGTGGTCAAGAACCAATTTGGTAAAGAAGGGATGCAGATTAGAGATGGAATGAGTAGTAGGGGGAGAGCAACCAAACAAGTTCTTGAAGTGATTTACAACTTCAGATTAAATGGCTTCACAATCTGTTAGGACCTGACCATTCTTAGTGGTGAGAGATACAATTTTCTTTCTGTTATTTCTGGAGGAGAGGGATTTATGGAAGTAGGAGGTGTTGCTGTCACCCAACTTTAGCCAAGTCATTCTTGATTTCTGCCTCATCATGTCTTCTTGGTGCTTGGCCAGCCTTAGATATTCACTTGTTAAAATTTTCTCCATATGTCTGAGGTCTTCATTACTTGGATCTATGTCAACGTCAGTTTGGCAGGCATCAAGCTCCAATTTGACTGCATGTAGCTTCAAGCCAATATATGTGAATTCCTTTTTGCAGTTATTTTTGAGGGCTTGTTTCAGCAATTTGAGTTTCTAGACACATTGGAACATTACTGTGCCTCTGATGTAAGTTTGCCACACTTGCTGAACTGAGGGTAGGAAAAGGGGATGATTGCTCCAGGCATTGAAAAACCTGAATGGGATGTTCCTTTTTGGGATGTTGAAATTCAAGGAAACCAAGATGGGACTGTGGTCTGAGATCCCTGGAGCCAAGAAGCAACACTCAGATACTAGGAAGGAGTTGATCCACTTTTGATTGACCAAGGCTCGATCTAGTTTTTTGGCAATGCAGGCTGCTCCCAAGCTCTTGTTACACCAGGTGTACAAGATTCCATTAAATTTAAGGTCTTCAAGTTCAGCTTTTTGCAGGCATTCTTTGAAATCCATCATGGCTGGGCACCATCTCATGTTTCCACCATGCTTCTCATTAGTATTAGGGATGACATTGAAATCTCCCATTAGAAGCCATGGGGATTGAGCCAGGTTGCCTGCATGAAAGGTGATATTTTCCCAAAGTTGTTGTCTTTCTGTTGCTGTGTTGGCTGCATAAATGAAAGAGGAGAAGAAATAAATGTTTTGCCCTATGCTAGATATATTGCAGTGAATTGCTTGCTTATTGATATCTGTCACATTGAGCTGTAAAACATTGGGTTTCCATAGAACCCAAATTCTACCCAGTTGAGAGAAATTGTAGTTATGTACAATTAGTCATGAAGGAGCCAAGAATGTGTGAATAGATTCAATGTTCATTTGTGAGACCTTAGTCTCTACAATACAAAGCAAATCAAGATTTTTGTCAGAGATGAGCTTTTTGATCTCTGACTGCTTAGAGGGCTGATTCAGCCCTCTAATATTCCAAGTAAGGAGACTTAACATAAGGAAGAGGGGGAGGGAGAACCTTCAGGATGCCTGTGGCCTAGAGCAGAACCAATAGACATCAAATTTGTGTTGCTACAGGATTTCCTTCTTGCTTCTTTCTTCAGTGATCTAACTGTTAACTTCTCACTTGTGGATTTTGAAGAGGGTGTTTGCATAATAGGTGGTTGCTGAGTTTTTCCTTGTTTTTTGCATTGAGGGAAGGTAAATGGAGGAGGTGGAGATACTGTGGAGGTGTGCTTATGGTGAGTCATGGATGGAGGTGGAGATATGTTTGAGAAGTTTAGCTTCTTGGAACATAGAGGTGAGTGGGGGGGTGAGTGTGAGGGAGGTGACATGGTTGAGCTTGGGTATGTGTTCTGCACCAATGTGCCTGCTGAAGAGGTGGATGAGGATGCTGACTTGGAGTGTATTGGTGTGCTGGCTTCTTGGGGTAAGAATTGTAGGGTAGAGAAATAATTTGCTGAAGGGCTTGTGTGGGGTTGTAATGGGGATTCATGGATGATTACTGGTGGATTTCTCCTGTTCTTTCTAACTGTGATCCATTCTGTGGTCGGGGGATTGTTTGCTGGAGTGTGGTCTTGCTGTGAGGTGCTGGGATTTTGATTTTTTGTGATAGTATTGTAATTGGTCTTATGGTGGAGAGGTTTGATGAAGCTAAGAGGGCATTGGTTTTCAGAGTGGTTAAGCTGCTTGCATTTAGTGCAGAATTTAGGGAGCCACTGGTACTCAATTCTGATTCTTTCAGTACTGCCATCCTCCATCTTGAGCTGGACTTCATTTTGCAATGGTTTGGATAAATCAAGGTTAATGCATATTCTTGCATATTTGAGCTTGGTTCTATTCTCTGTGGCTTCATCAGCATGAAGGGCTCTCCCACTGAACTAGAGATGTAGCTGAGACCTTTGGCTGTCCAGTAATTTGGGGGAATATTGTGAAATTTGACCTATGAAGGGACGCAGCCCATGTGAGTGAGATGGGGTTGATTCAATTGGCTCCGTTTCAACAAGGAGAAAGGATGGCCAGCAATTGTCCATGGCCCAAGTGATAGTACCTTTTCAGCTTCAGTTGTTGAATGGAATATGAAAAAATAGGAATTTCCCTCTCCTTGTATTGTTACAATGAGACCATGTTTGCTCCATAACTTGGTTGCTGCAGCATGAATGACTTTGAAGGGGACCTTTTTATGGATAGATACACCTACCAAGTGAGCATCATTCTAGAATTGTTGACATTCTTCCAACACTTCCTTTGGTAGTTCAATGATGCCAGATGTTGAAGGTGGAGGAAGGAACTCAAACTTCATTTTGTCATTCCTGTTTATGACCATTTCCGACCAGGGATTTATTTGATGGTTAATGGTTTTGGGGGAGGTGGAATGGGGTTTAGCAGGTTGAGGGTCAGTGGTGTGATGGGCTAATGTAGGTATAGGTATAGGGTTGGTGTGTATGCTTGGAGAGTTTGGTTATAAGGCCAACATAGGCTGTAAAGTAGGTGATGGGCTTACCTCCTCAATTGGGATGGTATGTGGGGTATGTGGTAAGGTTAGTGCATTGGATAGTGTTGACTGTGGATGAGCTTGTAGTGGTAATGTGACCACTCCATTCGAATTCGAATTCAAATTTGAACACAAACCTGGGTCCACCTTGTTTGTCAGATCATCGAGGATTGGGGTGGAGGTTGCCGGTTGCCGTTGGTGGTGGAGCTGCCTCCTAAGCTCAGCAAGTTCTGATTGCAACTTTGAGATGGTGTCCATATAGCCTTGTTGTTCTTCCCTTAAATCAGAGATTATCTTGTTCCTTTCTCTGTACATGTCCAATGCCTTGCCTAAATTTTCATCTTTCCATTGCAATTGTTCATTGAGTCGATCAATCTGGTGCCCTGGAGAACTATATAATAAAGTGTTGAAGTTTCTTATTTGCTGCTGCTTTGGAGGGCTAGAAGCTTGGTTATGGGTAATGGGGGCTTCCTGCGAGTGAGGAGATTTTTTATAATAGCAATAATATTGTTGTCAAAGGTCAAATTAGGGATTTTTTATAATACCAAAAAAGAAAAAAGAAAAAAAATTGGAATCTATATATTCTGCTTAAATTCCTACTCAGGAGTTCCAAACTATAATACAAATAAATGAAACAAACAATATGTAGCAACTTATCGAGTTAAATCTTCAATACACTCGAACAATACAGTGACAAACTGAAATCATGATGAACAAAGCTCATTAATCATATCTCCTTACCAATAATGCATGAATTTTAACAATGTGCCCACATTAAATGGTGACCAAACATACACTAATAAACACTAGCCAATGAGAATTATAAGCAAAAACACCTTTCTAAGCACCAAAATCTACCATATTAGGCAATTGCATATATAATCAAGATCAATTGCATGTATAATCAAGATCAAGTGCTTTAAACATCAAAGCCTTGCTCCTGCCAACCATAATGAAAGAGAAACAACAAACTTACCTAGATGAAAGGGAAACCTCCAAAAGGAGCTAGCTAGCTGTCTGTGTTGGGGGCAACCCAAACTGGCTGCGGGTCAATGACCTTCACCCTACTTGGATAATAGGGTTTTATGCGGTTATCTACAAGGCTAAAGACGCCATTGTCATGGCCACCATATGCGTTGTTAAATCCTTTTAAGTAATCGTCTGCAAAATAGATAGAATTCTCCACCAGCTCCGGATAATCACGAGTTGAGAGAGAAAAGGAATTATTATAACCCACAAACATAGCCCGATCACCTAAGCATTCCACGTTTTCCCACTTATTGTTATCGGAATCAAACTTATGAACATCAAATCCCATAGTCCAATAAGCATCATCATCGTGAATGAAATAATTTTCCCATTCATCATCATTAATCTTATTCTCTACTTCCAATCTTCGACTTCGAGCTATAAACCTGCAAAGCAGCAAAATATCCCCACAGGATTCAACTAAATAAATTTTCTCACCCCAAATATAAGATTCCTTAAGGCCTATGAAAAAATTGCTTTTGGGGACGAGAAGGGTCTCTGAGGTCCCAAGCTTCTATGCTAAAATCGAATCTGAGGGCAAAAAATCGCTGGTCCTTGCTGCAATATATAATGTCAGCATACATTGGGCCCGAAACGTCCAACATAGTCCACCTCTCGTCCCCTGGTTTGCAGAAGCCAATTTCATCACCTCCGCCGTGGATGGCCATTATAGTGCAGTTCCCGTCAATTTGTGGTTTTGATAGTGATGAAGAATAACAGGGGACCGTTGGGGCTGATGACATAACAAGCCTTTGTATGAAGTAACAACAGGCGCGTTCCGAGGACATCTTTTCCTCGTATGTGTACACCTCGGAATTGCAGTCTGCGTGTATTAAGTTGATGAACTGTGTGATGAGAGAAGGGGAAGGGGAGGAGTGATCGGATTTGAGGGAGCGAAAGCCGCGAACGGAGGGGATGGTTTCGACGGAAGGGAGGGGAATGTAGGGGAAATGAGGAGAGTCTATTAATGGATTATAGAGATAAGGATGACAATTGTGAGGGTGGTTAAAGGCCAGCCAGCCATGAGAAGAGCCCACACAAAATGCGCCATTCGGCATAAGAAGCTCCCTCTGCCATGGTACACTGAGAGTCCTTCGAACCCTAAATTGACTCTGCTCCGAAAGGCTGAAGAAATGAAAATACTCCTCATTGTTCTTGTTGCTGGACTCCGAATTGTGGTGATCGACAACATTAACACAGGGAGGTACCATGAGCAATGGTGATGAAGACAGTGATCGAGGACTTACAGGTAGAGAAGAAGAAGAACAACGCCGGATCAGCAAAAACATCGCAGCTTTTTTGAAGCATCCGCCTCCAAGGAGCAAACCACTACCACCACTGGTACTGGAGTTGTGAAAACTCGCCGGGTTAGAACAATTACACCGTATTTTCTGCATGGACTGGTGGGAATACAGCATCCGATTGCCACAACTCCTCCAATTAGCCGCCATTCATCTCTCTTTCTGCTATTTCGCTGTCGTGACCTAAGTAGATTTTGTTGTGATGGGCTTTTGGCCAAGTTGGACCATTATACTAACTAGCTGGATAGTCCATGTAACCTTGTACAGTTTTATCCCATAATTTAACTTTTCGGAAGAAAAAAAACGATTCTTTATATATTTCCCAATTAATAATCAACAACCCAAATAACTATTTGTAGACATGTATAGTGTTACCCAAATTCCACGTCAAAATATGCATTTTTTCTTTACCGGTGAACTGCAAATTAAAAACACTGAAATAGTTTCAAAAATGTGCAAAGTGTAATGATACGAAACCTGAAACAGAAAAGGCGAAAACTCTCAATCTAATAATTTTTTTTGGGCAGAATCTCATTTTCTTTGGGCAGAACCACATTTAGCCTAGTTGCTTGGCTTGAGTAATCGTGTTGGATACATGTCTGAACAATAAAGCTATTGTATGAGATGTGCCCAAGGACAGTCTCTGAATGATGCATAAAGAAACCTGGTTTGAGTCCTGATGATTGTTTCTATATCATCCATATAATAATCAGTTCATCACATTATGTCCCTGAGAATGAAAGTCGGGGTTTAGAGGAATATTAAAGTTTGTTCATCGAAGATTTAGGAAGTAACACAAACATCATAGACTAATGGTGTAAACCTGGCTTGATTACACAGATGGTGAAAGTGTCCTTAACAGATGTATGTCTTAAAATTCCAAAATCAATTATAACATCATAACAATCCATGATGTGTATTCATATCTCTTTTGGTGTCTAAAGAACAATCTTGGATTATATGATGCAAATTGATTGCAAAAAAAGAACATTATCAGCATTTTATAAAATGTATATTCTTTTCTTTTTTTTTTTAATCTAATTCAGCCAACTGGTTTAGCTTTTCTACCATTGCACCCGTGCACTCAATGCACATCGTCTAACAAATACCATTACTGGATGTTGATTTACCATGACAACTATGTTTTAATATCCTGAGTTTTGTGGTCGAGCAAATCTGACGTCAGAAAATCACTCTTGCTTTTTGACATAGATACCAATTAAGTCCATATAAGCATAAGCAGGCAACAACAGTAAGAACTAGTGCAACTAAAGTATTGTGTGGGAATGATTCGTTCTTGGTTCCAAGTTCCAAACACGATGACATATGTTTTGGCTTGGAATTAAGTGGTAACTCAGTAGTCAACTTTTATTGTGTTCAATTAGTTGATCATTAAGTGTATTTTTAGTATCTTCCATGTAACTTTAATCATTATTGTGGGTTTTACTGTTAGTGAGGATGTAGACTACTGCTCCCATGGTGCCTGGATACTTTAAACACGCAGCAGTCATTAAGTACTTCAGTTCAAAATTGTGGTTTTGATTATGATGGGTTTAGGTCCACAAATTACCTGCAGCAGTCATTAGCTAGCCAGAGAACCAAACATTACTTCATTACAATATCTTTCGATTCTTTTCAGAAAATGGTTGTCCAGAAAACAATGAGGTTGATGAGCAGCAAACAATGAGGTTGATGAGCATCTTACAAACAATGATTTTATATTTTGCTGAACATGATTTTAGTTCAAATTAAAATTTTGTATGAGTGATGACATAAACTATTTATATTTTTAATTTCATAAATATTGGGGCAAATAGTAAACCAACTAGACATCTTCAGGTCATTTACTTTGGACGCAACAACCTACTAAATTTTGTCAAACCCTATACATGATTGTCCTTGCTCGCCGCTCCTCACAGCTTAACCCCGCTCGGATCGGAGTCTCCGTCGACCATTGAACCAGACTATTGGTAGCTATTTCTTTCTCTGACTCTATCTCTCTTTCTTTTTCACTCTTTGTTCAGTTTTTATTTTTATTTTTTATATTATGTATGTTGATTTTTTTTTTAATTATTATTATTATTTTGTTGATGTTACTAGCCAATGAGATTGTGTATTATTTTGATTTTTCCTTTTCTTCTTTTTCAATCCGAAATTATGCAGATTGTGTATTCTTCTTGACTCTCCACTGCTATATTCTAATTTTTCTTTGTATTTGTTGTGAATTTTTCATAGGTATTTGTTTGTTTAGAAATCTAAATTTTTCATGGTCATCTTTTCATAGTGTAGAGATGAGAGAGAGAGAGAAAGAGGAAGTTGAGAGAAACCCATTTCACTTCTTGGGTGGTCTCCTATTAGGGTTATAGTTGTGACAATTTTAAGGGTTGTTCTTACTTTTAAATCTATACTGATATATTATTTTATTCAGATTTTGCATGCTTTCTTTGCCAGTTAGTCATTATGAACTTGAGTTATTTTCACTTCAAATTCTTCTACTTTCTGTTATATTATTATGATTTTATGCTAGGATAAGTTGTGAATGCAAGGTCCTTTTGTTTTTTCTTCGTGTTTCTATTTGGTAAGATGTGAATGAAAATGCTTGTAAATATTTAAGTCAATTTTCAGTAATTTCTTCACACGTTTAAATTTTGTTCATTTAGTATAGGTTTATTCCTTGCAAGATAAAAAGCTAAATGGCATGAGTAGTATTGGAAAAGAGTAAGTTGTTTTGGGTTAATTTATCTATTTTCAAATGATTGAGCAAAGCCAACAACTTAACTGTGCCTAATCATTTCTATATATCTGACATGATTCAATTTCACACCCTATATGTGAGTTTAGTGTTATTGTGTGCTATTTCATTCTTAGCATTCTATTCGACTGTATGACATTATAATGTTGATTTGTGCTTGCTTCTAGGTAACATCTTGTGTTTTGTGTATAAACGATTTTGTGCATATGGATTGAGAAATTAGTTTTAGGTTTTTAACTTTGCAAAAAAACATATTGGGTTTTAGCTATTACATTGTTGTTTTTTTTCGTTTTTTTTTTTTTTTTGTGCTCCCCTTTAAACCCTCTGTTTACTTCTCGGGGATGAATGAGCAAAAAAGAAAGCCAACAACTAAAGAGAGCATATTGTTTGTGGTAAAAAATGCAGTGATTATTCTTCATTTTTCTTTTTTCACTTCAATGAACGAGTGTTGGTTTATTTTGACAATGGATTGCAACAAATTTTATTGGTTTATGTAAATAATAGTACTCCTGTTAGATTATTGTTCCTGGGATTTTGAACAAAGGGGTTATTGTTGGCACCCAACTCTCCTCCTCGTGATTTGCTTTTTGGGTGTTTATCATTTCTTTATCTATTGATTATCTGGGAATACACATCCTTTTCTAATGACGTATGAAAGAGCTCTTATATATCCTGACATCAATGCTTAAAGTACTAATGTGTGTGTGTGTGCACACACACACATATTGAACTGCTAGTAGCCATCCTTTCCTTGCCATGATTGACGTTTTAAAGTATTTCTATTATAATATTTCCATTTTTTTTTTTTTTTTCAGATTATTGGAACAAGTGATGGAAACTCATTTAGTGCTATCAAACACCTAAAATTCTATCTAAAACATGGATTGTTTAAATTAGCAATTTGCAACCAGATCAAATGCCCTGGAGTGATTTCACTATTCTGTTTTGAAATTTACATAACATGCCTAGAAATGGGCCGAGCTCGTTGCAAACTCACTATTAATATGTGCACCTTGGTGTGAGATACATGGCCCTAATCGACGGTAAAAATCATGGAGAGTGTTTTGGTGCATTAATGGAAATATAAAATCGCTTTAGAAAGGAAACCTGTAAATGGATTTTAGGGGCATGGATGCCCTTGTATGTTGTTTTGTATTGCTGTTGATTTTAAAAATATTTATTTTGTAGAAACATGTTTTTTTTTTTTTTTTTTTTTTCATGTGCACTTCATGGACGGTATTAGTGACAAACATGTAGAATAATTTTCAAGTTCGTATTTTTTATGATGCTTTGCATTTTGCAGAACCGGGAAGTCCAAAGAGAAAGTGTGACTGAGAGATTAAAGATCTTGTTTGAAGACATACCGAAATTGTTGGAAGTTCATTTCAAGAAAAACTAAGTGATATTGTGGATGTGTTAACTTTCACCTCAACGTAAACTTTTTTCTGCTTTGCAAATCTGATTTTGTGGTTCGACTTCTGGCTAAGGTGATCAATTGTGGGCCTTTGTCTGCTGGCTATGGTTATCAGTATTAAGTGATAGAAAAACCAAGTGATATTGTGGATGTTTTAACATTAACCTTAACGATATTTATTTATTTTTTATTTTCTCCTTTGCAGATCTGATTTTGTACTTCTGGCTATGATTATAAAATTGGGAGTTTCGTTTACTCTGGTTTTGTTGATGTTCAGTGACGGATTCAAAAAATTTTGTGAGGGTGGTGATCTTTTAGTTTGTGGGGTCAAATTTATATAGTGGGAGTTTTCTTCATAAATTTTTTAAAAATAAAAAATTTAAATAAATAAATCAGTGGGCGAATTGTAATATTAGTTAGGGTATCTTTAAAAATTCTCAAAAATTTGAAGTATAAAATACAAAAAAAAAAAAAATTCAGTAGGGACGAATTATAATTTTAGTAGTACTATCTTCACAAATTCAAAAAAATTTAAAATATAAAATGAAAATATAAAAATCCAGTAGAGACATGGTCCTATGCTAGGTCCTGGCTGTTGACGTGGCTTTCTCTTGTAAGTTTTTTTTTTTTTTTTTTTTTCCTTCAGCTTTGCAAATTTAATTTTGAGGTTCAGTGCTTATTCCAAGTTTCTTGGAGATGGTGAAAATTGCAGTTTTGTTAATATTTTGTACAAGTTTCATTTTCATTCTCTCGCTGGTAACTATCTTGGCATTTGGGATATTATGACTATTTAGTAGTGGTGGTACATCAAACGTGATAATTTTCTAGGCTTCGGGTCTTTATTGCGTTGGCCTACTTTTGTTCCTCCTTATAGTGTACATTTGAGAGGTCCACATAGATGTATGTCCTTGGTATGTCCCTTGTATTTTGTAAGGTAGTTTCATTATTGTGATTAATAAAATATCGCCTTTGCAAAGCCCTTGGTATGTGATGTGTGACACATGAAAGGTTATGACATGTTAATATAATTGACTTAACATGAACCTAAACATGAATAACTCAATTCATAAATATAAGAGATGTAGAAGCAAATATGAATTAAAGTCCATTGTAATTAATATCTCTAGCATTAACTCACAGTAACGTTAGTGATATATTATAAGAACAAGTTAGAGATAAAGTGAATATTTATGCACTAGAGACTATTATACATGCTTGTTGAGAAGCGAATATAGAACCTTGGAAAGGTAGATGAGGTGAAATATTTAATATATGGTATTTTAAGGTTTGGAAAACCATAAGAAATATATCATATATAAAATTTCCAAAGTTGTGGGGGGATAATGTCCATAAATGAAATTTGCTATAAGTTACCTCACCATATAAGAAATACTTATAAATGTAGGGTTCTTAATCCTAAGAAATTTTGGATAGAACCAAAAATCATTTATAGTATTATAACAATAATGCATGTTGTTTCCTATGAGTAAAATATTATGGAAAAACTAGAAGAGTTCTTTTTTCAGCGGAAGAGCTGAGTTATTTGTTCTAGTTGAAAAGTAAAGTGTGCATATAAGTCCTTGAGTGGACTAAAGGTGGTACCAAGACAATAACATAAATATGATGTATAAGTCATTATATACCTTTAAAAAAAAAAAATTTAATGATATACTAATTAGTATATTTGATATGAAAGATTTAACATCTGATAACATAGTATATTCTCAATAGGGTGAAATTGAGATAATATTAGTTATGATAACAAAAGCCTAGCTAACTTTTGTAAATGTAAATCTCAAATATAAATACTAGTCAAAGTATATCATTGGTTGAGATTGCAAGGCATCTTAAAAACTGTGTTTAATTGCACATTTTCAATCCAGGATCGGATCACTGAAAAACAATAAATTGGGTAGTTGAAATACACCCTAAATCCAATATTGCATAGATCGAGGTATCTAACTAAATTGGAGGTGTAACAATGATGCAATCTAGATGTGATATTAAAGACTTCAAATCCAAGAGTGGATATGTCTTTTATATTAAAGGTGTAGTTGTATGTTCTTAATACAACTCAAAGTTAGAAACTTTGAATAAATCAAATAAGAAAGTCAATAGACTTCACCTAGAGGACATTTCAAAGTAAGTCTACACTTGTGCCACTAAAGAAAATGATATTGCTAACAGTAAGCAATATTAGGGCACAAAGTATACAGTTACTCTCACCTGGAGAAATCTCTGCAGAGTGTAATATTTCTAAACACAACCTTGTGGACACATATAAAATTGAGGGTTGTACTATAGAACAATTGTACAGATCATCGAGGGGAATGGGATTAAAAGCCGAAAGATAACGAGTTATCTTAATGGAAATCCAACCTAGCTGACTGGAGATCTCAAGATCTAGGTTCAAAGGGACAACAGAAATTTTGAATGACTCACCAGAAGCACTGGGAAGATATAAATCTTCTGCCCATTTCTATGATGAGACAGTGCTACCTACAGCGAGGATTAGGATAAGCTATGCTTTTAATGACTCTTATACCTTGAAAATTCAAGTAGGGTATGGTAGGATACTCTTAATAAGAAATCACCTATATGAGTGTGAAGTGGGGCCGCTTCTATGAGAACTATAAAGGCTAAGTTTTCTGGAGCACTCATTGAATACTAGGACTTGTTCAGGGCCAAAATGAACACAACAATGAGAACCAACTTTGTGAGGAAATGTACTGTGTGTTTGTTATTGTCTTGGTTTACACAAACGGCTAAACAGTTCAAGACATTGCGTTCACTGGTTAGCCAGTAAATCCGATAGTAATACATTAGGGAAGGTTCAAAGCCAAAAGCCACCTATCTTGATGCAGTAACTTTCCGACTATACTCTCTCTAGTGTCTACATTATCATTTGCATTTTAGCAGCCAATTCCATTCATGTAGGGGATTGTTAGAAATTTGGTGTGAATGGAAGTTGTTTATCTAGGAGTCTGTAATTAGAGTGGTGCCACCATATCTTTTGCGATATTAATAACCCATGAATATGGTTATTGATGCAGAATGTTTCTGTAATACAGAATTTCCAAATTACAATGAATCCTTGACATGTGATTCAACGTGATTAAGGATGGGTTGGAAAGTAAGGGTAGCATGATTGAGAAGTCACATTGAATCATAATCATATTTGTGAGTTTTGGGTTACAGACGTTGAAAGAACGTAATGTGGTTGACAATTAAGAATCGGTTGGAGGTGACCAAACTATGAAATGATACGTTCTTTCCAAACAGATACACCCATACTCCAAAAGGAATCCCAAACAGACATACCTATACACCAAAAAGGCATCTCTAAGTCTATAAATACCCCACTGGCTACCATAATTTA